TAAAATGTGGTGCTTTCAGTCCTTCAAGACTTGTTGCATTAAATAAGCACTTCTGTGAGTGCTTCTCTAATTTAACCTTAAACTTCTTGCACTTGTTTAAAGAATAACAAAACGGGTTTACTGTAAGTTAAAGCCGGTTTAAACATATATGTAGTTATGTGTGCTTCACACATGAATACTAAAGTACAGTATTACACGTTTAATTTCACTCAGCGAGTGAAACACAGTAATGACCATAAAGGCCTTTATGCTGTAGAAAGAGGAGCATCACTCAAATCTACCTTGATATAACTGTACTGAGAAAGGTTTTCCTATGAATTAATTAGAGAAGAGTCCATTTTTACTGTGCATTGTGTCTCTTCCGCGCTGCGCCGCGTAAACATAAAACCATTTAAAAATGAGAAACGACAAACAACAAGCGCTACTCTACACTGCTCAAAACTCGCGTTTGAATCATCAGTGGCAAATTCTTTAAATATGGAAACATACTTGCATGTTGTGAGTCAGAACAGCCGGCATTGTAGGTTCAGGAAACAGTCCTCTGTTAAATGTGTTGCACACACATGAATATTTGGTTTGAACTGTTCTGGAACAGTGTTGTAAATACAACTTAACCACTGATTTTTTTTGCTTTCACAACGAAACACACAGCGTCTTCACAACATGGCGGCGGCGGCGGCAACAGTACTACAGCGAGAATCAAAGTTACACCTTCTTTCTTTGCGTAAACATTTGGGCGGTGTTATGCAAATCTTAACTTTTATAAAGAATATCTCTTTGGGTTTGAGACTTTAGTCTTTGCAACTTTAGGGATCTTATCTATGCACAAACAGCTTAACACTCCAAAGAGAAAGGAAAACTTGAAATCGCATCATATGACCCCTTTAATAAAATTGAGGTTAAACCACTGAAGTCACATGGAGTACTTTAACGATGTCTTTCCTATCATTCTGGGCATTGAATGTCTAAGTTGCGATGCTGCCTATGAAGGAAAAGCTCTCGGATTTCATCAAAAATATCTCATTTGTGTTCGGAAGAGGAAAGAAGGTCTTACAGGTGTTAAATGACACAAGGGTGAGTAATTAATGACAGAATGTCCATTTTTGGGTGAAATAAACCTTTAATTTGTCTATGGTTCCAACTGGAAAAAAAATGAAAGAAGCTCTTTTGGTGCTCAGTGCAAACTGGATAAGTAGGCCTATGTATTAAAGTATATACTATCAGATATTGCTCACTGAATGTTATTACAGGACAGAAGAAAACGCTGCTCTAGAATTTTACTTGCCAGCTGACAAGTGACGTTAGCTTGCTTGGCAAAAATGAGTTACTTGTTTCTATAGGCAAACTGAAATTTTCAAGTACTAAATTAAAATAAATATTATTACCAATGTCTGAACAGCGTGTAACAAAACTTAAAAAAATAAAGCCTGTAGACTAATTATTATGTGAATGATTTAGGGCGGATTTGCTGGGAAAATCCAAGGGAAACTGTCATTACCGTGTAATTTTAATGAACCTCATCTGTCGACATGGTGTCGGTGAATCTAAGCCTGTAGACTAATTATTATGTGAATGATTTAGGGCGGATTTGCTGGGAAAATCCAAGGGAAACTGTCATTACCATGTAATTTTAATGAACCTCATCTGTCGACATGGTGTCGGTGAATCCCACTGGCTGTTGCTCGCTCGCATTAGGCCTACTATGGAGTGTGTGCAAGAGCATGAGCAATAAGTTACTGACCAAAGCTCAATTAACAGCCACCGGTGTCACTAATAACAAGGGTTTCTGTATTCTACATAGAGTTTTATATATTTTCAGGAGTTAATCTTTACTGTTGACAGTGAAATAGCTTGAGCCAATCTCTTGAGTAGGATTAGGTGGCATGACAATACAGTTTCACAGGACTGCTTAATTTTTGACATGCTTATAAAGAAATGACAAAGGAGAGATAAAGAAACATGAAAAAATAAAGTGTAGAAATGCTTTATGGTATTCAAGTAAACATAAATTAGAAGTATGGATAAGTATATATTGGATATAATTGTCTAGTGTTAGGGTTAAAGAATATTGTTTGTATGTTTGTATTTTCAAATTACAAATTACTTGTATTTTAATTAAATACATTTCTCACACCAGTATTTTTGTATTTTAATTAAATACATTTGATGAGCTTGTATAATAATTTGTAACTAAATACTTTTTGATGTAATTGTGCCCATCTGTCAGTAGGGTGAATGATATTAATTTTAAGTGATTATGTCCAAAAATCCTTCTCAAGCATTAGAAAGAGCAGACATCACTGAGAAATTACGTAGGCTTAGCAGTTGTACACTGAATTATACAATTTCACTTCATTTTCCTGCTGTGGAGACACATTTCAGGACATGGGTGAAAGTTAGCTTTTATTTAGCTATTTTGAAGGGGTGTCTGGATTTAAGAATGCGTCCATGTTTATAGCCTACATGCGTGCAGGCAAAGCAACGTGCAATGAAGTTAGGATAGGCTACCTCAGAGGCGTCATGCCCATCCAAAGTGATCAGATTTTTGAGCCAAGTGGATTTTGAATGCAGCTTTCAAAAGACAAAAAATATTTTCTATATTTAATACAATCACACCGGCGTGATTAGAACGTTCAGTGCGTCATATCATCAGCTGCTAAATTCAAATCTACGCTCGCTGGCTGGCACTGAGCCAGATACAGATGCGTTTTTACAGCTCTACGCATTAACCAATCACACCCGATGCTGTTGAGCTTATGAATGCAATGGCCAATCAGAGGTATTCAGATGAGTCATCGCAAAAATGCCGGTGTTTTCTTGATCATCCGCTGAATTCTCTCGTCAGAAACTACAAAGTGCAAATGCGTGTATGAATCTGTAAGATATTAATTTCATAGTGTAAACAGCTTCAGTGATTTTAATGGGAGTTTTTGAGAGTGCTTGAACTTGACTGTCAGTTAAAATGTTCTTTGATAATGTAAATGTCCTTTGCTCTCTTTCTGTAGGCTACAAATAAAGTGTTATGATTAGTAGCCTAACTTGCAATGTTTTAATTCACATTAAATTTCAATGTTAAATTCACATTAAATATAAACTCAGTCGTATTAAAAATATGCTATGGCATGACGCCCATATCTGTTAATTAAGTAAACAAACAGGTTTTTATGCATAGTTAATAGATTACATTATTAGGTTATTTTGACCATCGCCCACTATAGATCAACATCATCTAGGTGAGAATCAAGATATTTCATGGTATAGTTAATGCAGTTTGGGGATGTTTCGAATAAAAAGGAAAAAAAAACAGCTTCAGTGATTTTAATGGGAGTTTTTGAGAGTGCTTGAACTTGACTGTCAGTTAAAATGTTCTTTGATAATGTAAATGTCCTTTGCTCTCTTTCTGTAGGCTACAAATAAAGTGTTATGATTAGTAGCCTAACTTGCAATGTTTTAATTCACATTAAATTTCAATGTTAAATTCACATTAAATATAAACTCAGTCGTATTAAAAATATGCTATGGCATGACGCCCATATCTGTTAATTAAGTAAACAAACAGGTTTTTATGCATAGTTAATAGATTACATTATTAGGTTATTTTGACCATCGCCCACTATAGATCAACATCATCTATAAAGGTGAGAATCAAGATATTTCATGATATAGTTAATGCGTTTGGAGATGTTTCGAATAAAAAGGAAAACATAAATAAAACATAAGTGCTATTGTGGCTGCTGTGTCACATGACGCCCCTGGGCTATCACTTGTACTGCACGTTTCCTCTGCCTTGCCAAAATAAATGTGTTTCCAGGTTACAGCGATTGGAGCTGCAGTTATTCATCTCCACGGTAGAGGCAGGTATTGAGCGCGGTAAAGTAGTCGGACAAAACATGTTAAGGGTCATCATGTTTTCATTAGTGCGTTTTACTTACTGTACTGATACTGTACTGATACATCATGCACTCACACAATATGTTTTTATTTTTTATAAATGGTAAAATAACTCATTTTCAAACTGATCAGATCATGTAAATAAAGCTGGCGCGTAGCCTACACCAAACTAGTTAAAATATATTTCATATTATTATATTTTTATATTATATCCTGTAACAGTAATATTGTTTGCACTTACCTCTTCTGTTAGACTTAAAGTTGAGCGTGTTGCCTAGGAACGGGTAAATTGGACTAATCTCGGGGACAGGTTTCAGTTCTCTCCATTTATACATTTAATCTTTAAGCAACTGATATGCTATGAAAGTCAGCACAAGTAAAAGTGAGACAAAAACCACCGATCCGTTCGACAGTTCACCAACTAGCATTTTTTACGTTTTGTTAGATCTGTAGTAGGGTTTAGAGTAACTCCTCGCCTATTAAATGGGAACTTGAAAATGTGTGATACCCCCCTTAAACCATGGGATGAGCTTAGATTTTCAAATACACACCATGACTTTTGTTTGTTGTTTATTCTGCACAAGCAGAATAAAAGAAAAAACAATTTGATCACAATTTTCATTTAATGTTTCATGAAAAATAATAAATCATAAAGACTTCTTGTAGAGCTTATATTTTAGATATGCTTTTTTATTTAATTTTTATACATTATATGGGAGGCCAAGACTAGTTATCACATGGGAAAGTTGTCACATATGGCAATATCTCCATATGTTCATTAGACTTTCAAAAAAAAAAAAAACGATGCTAAGAAATATTCAGTGGCGTAAAAGGTGTCAACTTGCCCCGGTCTCCCCTATACAGTACCAAAAAGAAAAAAAAAAGGAAAAAGCAAATTAGATTAGTTTTCATCTTGTTAAAGAAATTACCACTGGATGGCTGCATTGTACAAAATATTTCAATTGGTTAAATACTCAAACAAAAGACATTTACACCATTTAGCATTAACACAGACTTTAGAAAACAGACAAAGTGCAACATAAGTTTGTACTAAGTAGTATAAAAATAATTAGTACCTAAGAGAAAATACCAAAGCTTCTTACCCACACTGCTCCACTTAATTTATACTGCTCCACTGTATTTTGTTTGACTAAAACTTAAAAATGGAGGGGGAAATTAATACATTTGTTTTTTTTTAAATATTGATATTTATGTAATTTAATTGATTTGATTTTTAAAAGTGATTCCTAAATACATATTTTACCTTTTATATTTGACCCTGATGGCAGTGGCCAGCTAAAGGTCAGAATAAATGAAACTGTTATGGTCACAAATGTGAGTTTCTCTGAAGGGATCTCTTTGAGCATTAAAAAAAAACCCTAGTTCCTTACACAGCGTGGGCTCTATTGTGTCTACACAATTATCTAGTTTGGAGTTGCAATGGTATTATTCTATTGTGATTACTAAAGAGATGAAACAGAGAATTCAAGTAAGGACCTAGCACAAATTAAACATGCTTTGCATATAAAAAAATTTTTTCTAGTTGACCATGTTGGTAGAAGCTATTGCTGAGCAGAGTTTCTGATGGAAAGCTGGGATTCGTTCCCTGTGTAAAGGCCAGTTGAGAACACAGTGAGGTTTCAACATGCCACGACGAAGATGCAGAGAGCGGTTCAGACTGTAATCAGTTACATCTTGCAAAAAAATCAGAATCAGCGAGTCACGATTTACCTCCATTACCTGGTGAAGTGCATGATGGGCTTTGAATCTGAAAGTAGGAGAAGGAGAAAGTGTAAATACTTCTTGAATTGAGTAAACCACCTGTGCATTTCAGTAAATTCCAGAAAAGGAAGCATGCGTTTGGTGAATATGTAAGGTGTATCCTTTGAGGATCTGAATGTACCTTAAAGAATCAAAACTGGTCAGTGGTTTGCATTTAATTAATGGTCACTATATATATTAGTAGTTAGCCTTTTTGAATCAGTTATAGATAATAAGGAAAATGTTACTTACTGCCTACACCAAGGATCCTTCAAAAGCATTTCTGTAATAACAAAAATTATTTTCCTGGATTGTCCCATGTTTTCAACAATGGTGTCAAGTTGAGAAAAGCCAGGTATTGCATCTCTGTCTTCAAGAAAAAAAATGAATTTTTCATCCTCTAGGGGAAGCAAGCTTCGTTCCACCCATGGTCTGTCCTCAGCACTGTGGATGATATATGCATCATATGCATATCTACCCTCAGTAATGCTTTCGTCCTTCAGTGACCCCAGCATACGGTTTGCCATTATGCTCCAGAAGAACTGGATTCTCCATCCTTGGAAGTGTGCCAGGAAAGCTGTGAATAACAACATTAACACTGCTGTGCTACTCAAAATGTACAGTGCCTTAAAAGGTGTCATATCTTTGCAGGACAATGGGTCAAAGTCCATAACAGAGCGGTTAAAGTAGGCATTTGGGGTGTTACAGATATAACTTTGAGAGAACCCAGGAATGCTGGCATTGGTGGAGTTAAGCCACTCAGAGAACCACAGGATGCTCTCGCAGGTGCAGTCAAAGGGGTTGTGGTCCATGTAGAGATCTGTCAGGTTGGAAAGTGGCACACCAAACGTGGCACGTTGAACAGATGTTATAAGGTTCTTTTGAAGATGCAAATACTTTAAAGACTGCAGGTCATCAAAAACAGAGGCATGCAGCTGATCCAAGAGATTACCACGGAGACTTAGCTCATGTAACTCAAAGAAGCCGCGCAAAGCACTAAGTGGAATCTCATCTAAACCATTGTAATCCAGATCCAGAACAGACAGTTTTGTGGCGTCCTTGAGGAACAACACTGGACCACCAGGGTTGGCCGTCTTCCACAACCTAGCCAAGTTGTTGTGCTGCATTTTCAGCACTTTCAGATGGTACAATCCTTTCAGAAAGCCAGCATTTATGTTTGCAATATTGTTATTACTGAGATCTAGAATTGTGAGGTTGACAAGTGGCTTAAACGGAGATGGTTCCATATCTAGGGTCCCTTTTAGGGCACGGCCAAGCTTTAGAGTCCTTAATGTAGGGACATGGATGAATGACGTATTGGTAAGGGAAATACATTGCTGGTTTATAGACATGTCAATCTCTTTAATGTTAGAAAGGCCCTCTAACTCATCTCCTTTCAGCTGCTGATTAATGAAATTGTGACCAAGTAGGAGTGTAGTGAGGCTGCCAAAATCTGAAAAGGCCCCAGGCGCCAACTTGTTGATACCTATGGCAGTAAGATTAAGAGTCTGAAGGTGTGGAGATTCTTGCAAAGAAGCAAATGTTGTGTTTGTGACTGTCTTCAACCCTGTGATGCTCCAACTCAAATCCAGTGTCTTCAGGTGCAGAAGCCCAGAAAAGATATGCTCAGTTATCTCTCGGAATGCAGTATTTGCCATGATGCTCTAATTGGACTAAATGGAGGAAAGAGAAGTCTTCAATAACTGGTAAGGACGAAGTATGACTCTTAATCAGTGCTTTCTGCAGGTTAAGCTGTCTCAGGTTTCCCAATCCAAGAAAGGTGTCCTTAGTTAGATGTTTAAGGGAGTTATGCTCCAGGGATAAACTTTCCAGTCTGGGAAACCACTGAAAGGTGCCATCAGCAATCTTTGTCATTTTGTTGCCGCTGAGGTCGAGCACTGTGATGTTAGTCTTGTCTAGACCTTGGAAAGTTGTGTTTGAGAGGGTGACCTGTTGAGTGTTCTTCAGGGAAAGGTTTCGCAAAGCTGTGCCAGCAAGTTCTTCACAAAGACTGGTGGTAAACTGAAGGCTGATCTTGCTGTAGTCCAGCACTAAGTCAGAAAGTCTGGCAATAGTCTGGAAACAGCCATTCTCTACCTAGGTTAACAAAACAATTGAAAAAGAAGACAAAGGTTTGTTGGAGTGAGAATGACAGAGCTAAACCAGGTTTAAGAAACTACACATTATAGCATTGAGTTGGTTCACATGCAAAGTTATATTTGAGCTACAAATTATTGTTTTTAGTTCAGCTTAATTTTTTTTTTAAATGCATATAAACATACTAATTGACTGCCCCTTATTTAAAGGTTTAGTTCAAGTTGCATTTGTTTGTTTATCTAATGCTACAAAAGCACTTGACAATACTACATTTCATTAGCATGATGTTTTCAGGTCATGTCAGTAATCAGAGTCAAAAGTTATTCAATATTATTTCACAAAGAAAACAACACAGCAAAGTCCAATTGTCTGAGCACCAAAAATAGAAATGTAGTCCTAACAGCTTTCCAACAAAGATAAGGATAGATGTGAGTAAACACACACTGTGGCAAACATGCATGGTAGTATCTGAAATTCTGAAAGGGTTAAATATTATTTCACAAAGAAAACAACACAGCAAAGTCCAATTGTCTGAGCACCAAAAATAGAAATGTAGTCCTAACAGCTTTCCAAGAAAGATAAGGATAGATGTGAGTAAACACACACTGTGGCAAACATGCATGGTAGTATCTGAAATTCTGAAAGGGTTTTATATATAGATACTCATGTGCTTTCAGTGAAAGTAACCTGACATGTGTCACATTCTGTTCCTCTTACCTTTTTAAGAGACAGAAACGAGAGTATCAGAACCCGAAATGCAGAGGAATTGCTGAGGAATGAGAAGTCGTTTTTTTGCAGTACAGAAATTTCATTTCCAGAGAGAACAAGGGTCATCAGGTTTGGCAGCTGAGGTTGTGTGCCCAGTTTAGCCGATTTAAGTGTGTTCCGAGATATATCCAACCACGTCAAACTCTAGGGGGGAATTGTTGACAGCTGAGGTTGTGTGCCCAGTTTAGCCGATTTAAGTGTGTTCCGAGATACATCCAACCACGTCAAACTCTACATAGGGAGGAAATGTTGATGACATGTATTATCTATAAGACCATAACAGACTAGGAAAAAAAAAAGTTTATTCTGGTTAGAGGCCACAGCACGAAATCAGTTATTGGCTTATCACTGTTAGTTAGAGTTTTACCAGTATGAAAACATGGTTTAAATCTTTTTCTCTCATTGAACAGGCAACAAAGAAAAGGATAGAGCGTGTTAATTGTGAACAAACCAATGAGGCTGCACATTATCATTCTTATTCATGACAGTACTGATCTTGTCTCTTTGGTTTCACACACAATTAATCATAATAGCCTGTCCCTCTATGTAAATATTAGCACTAGATGACACTGTAGCTAGGAGGCACCTAACTGAATTATACTTTAAACAAGCACATAAAAAGCCACCTCAAACTTTTTATTGCATTTAATATTTGCATTTATTATTTACTAAAATGTCTTCATAAACATACCTTAAGAACAGAGAAGGGCTCCCCATTTAGCTTCAGCCTATTGTCAGACAGGTCAAGTCGCGTTAAATGAAAACAGTTTTTCAGGTCTTTCTCGCTTATTAAATGCACTTCATTGTGTTGTATATTAAGACTTTGCAGGTGTGGCAGAGAAAGACATAGATCCTCTTCTATGACAGTTAAAGAGTTGTAGCTGGCATCTATATTCATCAGATTTGAGTATAAATGCAGAGAAGACAGAGTTTTTAGTCTATTGTGAGACACATCCAATGTGGTGACATTTTTGGGCAAGTCCGCTGGGACTGCATCCAGATTCATATGACTACAGTCTACTTTGGTATTCCCAGTTGTACATTTTGACTTGTGTGGGTATGCAGTGCCTGCACAGTGGCCATGGAAACACATGCAGAACAAGGGCAACAATATGAGTTTCATCAGTTCCATATATTTTCCTGCCTTCCTATTTTTTTCCTCAAGTCAAGCTGTAATGAACATAACAGTATTATTGACAACAGTAGGCTATTTCATTCACAGTATGAAAGGTTATACACAAGTTTATACACAGTACAATTTGCTAGAAAATCATTTCTGTTAGTCAAAATAAGTGATATTTTGCTACTGAAAAGTCATTCAACTGCATAATACTTTTTTAACAAATGCATTATACACGATATTAATCTGTTGCAAAGTTTTAATGCATGTGTGATCATCATGGACATACATGAATTGTGACGATCTAATCTCCCTCGTTCAGCTCAAATATCAGCATGGTTAAAGTGTTTCAAGTGTGAAGCAACTCAAGACAGTCCTCTTGTATAGCCATATAATCTTTGCATGGGGGAAAATAACCTTCAATAAGGAACAAGTCCTCTTTCGTAAGAAGTGAAACAAACGAAGAGGCGGATCATCTCCCGCAGACGTGTCCTAGATATCAAATTTCGTCTCTCAAATTCGACACAGAGCTCAAGTGATTAGGCTACTTATATTTGATTACACCTTCCTCTCATGATTTGAATGCACATTCGATCGGATTTCAAAATTCTTCATGACAATTGCAGTCGCATCTGGTAGTTTCTTGTGTCAGCGACTAACAAATAACCAACTTCCTTATATTATCATATGAACGTGCGATACATTTCATATCACTTCTGCTATTCCTAATAAAGTTTTCCATCTTAATATTTTTATTGGCCTCAAAAAAAGAGAAAAAAGGAACTGAGTAAACCGAGAGGGATTTCCCCTTTTTCCTCTAGATGCAAACATGTAGCTACTTGCTACATACTCTTTTAAGATGTTAAAAATAATTTATTGCCATATATATTTTTTAGCTCATTTCGATTATTTATTAATTCAAATATATAACCAAAATAATCTGCTTGTTTTATATCAATATTCAAATGGAACGTCGCTTCAGCAGTAATTCAGCTAAATGTCCAGCTGGGGGAGCCACAGATTTCAAAATGAGAAGAAAGGAAAAAAAACACTTTGAAACAGCATAACGTTTCATAATAAAAAAAATATGTATTTGAATACGAATATGAACATATGAATCTCGTAGCATTGCTAACTATTTAGCCTACTTGAATTAATAGTTAGTATAATATATTGGATAGTATAGTAGCCTATAGTTAAACATGAAATGTTTTCAAAATGAGAAGAAAGGAAAAAAAACACTTTGAAATAACATAACGTTTCATAATAAAAAAATCTGTATTTGAATACGAATATGAACATATGAATCTCGTAGCATTGCTAACTATTTAGCCTACTTGAATTAATAGTTAGTATAATATATTGGATAGTATAGTAGCCTATAGTTAAACATGAAATGTTATGCTGCACACTTTGAAGGCACAGATAGCTCTAGCTGAATTCCGAGGTATGGATATGCTTTCTCTATCTCTATAACAATTTTAATTCAAATTTAAATTCGGAAAATGTCATTAGAACTCAGCATTTGGTTTCATAAGACTGCAATGAACACCTTGGTGTCAGAGTTCAACAAAAAAAAGTGTCTTGAGGAATCTCTGTGGTTCTTAAGAATTTGTATTCTGATGTGTGCTGTTACCTAGCAACTGCAGCAGGAAGTGGAAGGGCACCTGTAATCTGATGACTCATTGACAAACAGCAGGTTACTCTCTGCATCAGTATAGCTCATGGCCTTGAGACAGAAGACCTTTCAGGATGTTTATTCCATCAGCATTTGTTAAATACAGATACAATAATAAAATAACACCAGATTTGTACTGGTCATGACACTGTGTTTAACACTCCCTTTTCAATTTCAGCCGCATCAATATAACCTGTCTTTTCTTTTTCTTTTACTCCAAGTATCTCTCCATACTATAGTGACTGAACAATGCTGGAAAGGTATTTATGTCTGTGCATTTGTGTTCTTTCATGGTCAGCAATTATTCACTCCACACAAGTGATCAATATTCTGTTTGTTATGCTGGTCAACCTGTGCCTGTTTCGCTGACGCAGTTAATAGTAACATGCAGCTATTCTCACAGATAGTTACTGCAGGCAATCCATAACGCCAGGCACCCATACAGACTCTAATGTTCGCTCTGTGACTCTGAAAGAATCAGCGGTAGGTAATGCCTGAACCATTAGAAATGTTGCAGTGTATTAATTTGCATGTAAAAGGATGAGGTTGAAGAAGTTAGTTCAGTTACCAGTGACTGTGCAGATCAGAGCTTGTATCATCTTGTTATAAGAGCATCAAGTGCAGGAATAAACGGTAGAGTTAGTGTTAGCAGATGTATCCAGCTGATAAGGACATTTTTATATATACATAAAAAAATCACTTATGGTCTCAGACTTGCGGACTCTTTTGACACATAGGCCTGCTTTATTTAGCATTAATTATATTATTAATAAAAAGGATACAGGTTACACATAGAGGCTGCATTCTCAGCTTGTGAATGTGAATAACAGAAAACATGACCAGTGCAAATGTTGATTGTATCCATTTGTCATTATTTTATTTTAAACAATGCTTACAACAGTCTTTTCCCCATATGACTTAATCTCCAACCTGCCTCTGTACCTGTTCAGTTCATGCATAATTGAAGTGATAACATAATATGCTTTCTTTCTTTTCATCGCTCTAGAAAGAACTCCTCTTTTGTTTCCTCCTTTTATCTCTTCTCTCAGCAATCTCTTTCAGTGTGGTATTCCCAAGCATTCTTTCAGAGATCAGAACAGAAAGATCTGACCCTTGGTGACATTGAAGTGAAAAAGTCAAAATGCAATATGCAATGCTTTTATTTTAATATACGGCCAATAAGATTTATAAGACAATTATAAGATCATTTATAAGAAGAATAATTAAGAAGAATAAGAATAATTAAGGAGAATAATTAAGATTTTTAATGTTTTTGAAATAAGTATTTTATGCTAACCAAGGCTGCATTTTTTAATAAAATATTGTGAAATAATATTACAATTTAAAAAAAAAACTGTTTTCTAGATATATTTTATCTATATATCTATATCTATCTATATTTTAAAATATTGTTAAAAATGTTTCACAATATTACAGTTTTTACTGTATTTTTACCGGTATTTTGACTGGTAGTGTATTTATAATTACAGTATATATAATTTCATAGCATTGTATAAAGTACCAATGATAGAGGTGTATACTCCTTTCGATAGCATCCCTCAATTTCTATTGCTTCTCTCTCCCTAGAGGAAAAAGGAAAGCAAGTAGAAAATCAAAAGAGAAGACGACTGAGTTGAGCCGAAAGGTGGTCTTCCTGTTGTCAGCAGTCGTATGTCTCCCAGATTTGATCTGTTGCCATTTATCGGTACAAAGATCTGCACTGTGGCCTTTACAGACTGAGAGATGCAGATGAAAAATATTCCTACAGGGAGAGAGGAGGAAGAAAAGAGAGGTTTCGAGAAAATTGATGGACAATTAAGTAAGAGAGAAAAGAAACCAAGAGAGAGCAAGAGCAAACCTTGCAGAAATCAGCCGTGCACTGGAGTCAGCGATGGAGAGGAAGACAGAGAGAGCTGTTATGGGAGAACATTACTGTCACATTCACAAGCCGGAATCTACTTATGAAGAAACACATACTTGGATACACTAGGACATTTCTTTACGTCCATGTGTCAAAGTCCACTCATGTAGATGGAATAACCACAATGGCTACAGAGAAATCACAGTACGTTTCAGAAAGACAAACAGAGAGCTAATGAATGCCTAACAGTGGTTTTGAAATAATCCCTCAATCTGAGCATCACATATACACACATACAATATACAAGCTCTCTGGATTTGGATTGTACTGCAACTTTAGACAAGGTAAGAGATATCTATCTATGTATCTATCTATCTATCTATCTATCTATCTATCTATCTATCTATCTATCTATCTATCTATCTATCTATCTATCTATCTATCTATCTATCTATCTATCTATCTATCTATCTATCTATCTATCTATCTATCTATCTATCTATCTATCTATCTATCTATCTATCTATCTATCTATCTATCTATCTATCTATCTATCTATCTATCTATCTATCTATCTATCTATCTATCTA